GAACCATCCTCCCGGGGGCCTGTCCGCCCAAAATACAGCCCCTCGCAGGTCTGTAGCAGAGGCTGATCCTAACCTGTTTCTTAAGAGACTCCAGCTGCTGTGCTCACACCTCCTCTTACTGGCCGCTCAGATGATGAGGCGGCGGCAGCCAGGTGCTGGGGCAGAGCACAGGGCCCTGCCCGCCTGCCTGCACCTGGGGGGCCCTGCACCAGCCTGGGACCAACTCCTGCCTGCAGGCAGGCCTCCATGCTCCCTGAGGGCCAGCTGGCTCTCCACTTCAACCTCTGCTTTGTACACTTACGTGCTGGGGGCGGGGGGGGGGGGCTTCACTCTGCTCTGTGCTCAATGCCAAACACTTCTCAAGAGTCCCTACGACCCCATGATGGTCAGGCAGCACCAGCCCCACTGCACAAACAGGTAAACCAAGGCTCACAAAGGCAGGTGTCCTCCCCAAGATCTCCCCACCGGGAAGCTGTGGGCCTGGGGTGCAAACGCAGCAGGGGCCCTGCTCTGGGGTGTTTGTGCGCACAGGGCAGGGTGCCCCGTCTGGCTGCAAGGCTCCTGAATGCCCCTTCCCAGCGTCTCCCCAGGGAGACGCCAGTTTCCACCTCCTCACTCAGCCCAGCGGATGGCAAAGGAGACCCAGGCGCGCGGCCCAAACCTCTGCAGACTGGGTCAAGTTCTGCTCCCTCAAAGAGGTGACTTGAAACTCCATGTTGTCACCCTGGGCATCATCCAGCTTCAGCCTACAGCTGGCCCAAGCAAAGGCCCCAAGAGAGGCCTATGGCCACGCACAAAGCCACAAGTCCGAGCCATCTGGAAGGTAAGTGGCAGGCACAGGGCCAGCCCCGCCAGCCCGGGACCGCAGGATGGCCTCTCGCCACGCTCACGCCCTCGCCGCCCGCAGGCTTCTAGAAAACACCCCTCCTCCATGAAAACCTGGCTCTCCCACCACGCTGTGGTCTGCCCTGCTCTCTGTGGTACCCCAGCCTGGAACCAGGGCACCGTTCAGCAAATGCCGCTGCACCGACAACAGGGGACCAGGCATCTGGAACCTTCTGGAACATTCCCCACCCACTTAGCAGTTTTTCTTCTCTCCACCATCATGTTCTAGCTAGCAGCCCACCTGCAAAGCTCATACACCTGAGTAAGCCTAAGCCACAACCGGGAAATGACACTGGGGCGGGGGGTGGAGACCATCAGCCCGCCACACTAGGAAGTCTGGGGTCCTTGTCGTGGGGCCCACGTTACTTGGCAGTCAGGCCCGAGCCAGGCTCAGCCCACTGCCCCAGATGCCAGGACCTCTGAGGATGCCCCAAAAGGCACACACTGAGCAGCGGAAACACCTGCTTCTAACAGGAAACAAGCCACGGCATCCAGGGCGCCCCCAACGGTGACCCCCAGCTCCGGGTGCTCATCTATCACCGCCGACCACACGGACCTCACCAACACCCCGTTGCTGCAAAGGCAGGGAGGGGGAGAAGGCCCGTCTACACAGGTCTCTCAGGCAAGCAAACCGGAACCGTGAGGTGCCCGGCACGAGAAACATGGCTCAAGAAAGCAAGCTCTAAGCATCCGACGCCAGCAGGCAAGGCCAGTCCCCTCCGTGTGTCTGCAGCCCCGGGTCAGGCTGCTCGCGGCCACTCTGACAGCAGACCAGGCCCCCGAGGGGACCGCCCAAGCCCGCGTGTGAAGCCGCCCAGCGCCACGCGACGTGTCCGTGGCCACAGGGGTCCCCTCTAGGCAGAGGACAGCGAGGGCCACAGGGGTCCCCACTAGGCCGAGGACAGCGAGGGCCACAGGGGCCCCCACTAGGCCGAGGACAGCGAGGGCCACAGGGGCCCCCACTAGGCCGAGGACAGCGAGGGCCACAGGGGCCCCCACTAGGCCGAGGACAGCGAGGGCCACAGGGGTCCCCACTAGGCTGAGGACAGTGAGGGCCCCGGTGCGCCACGCACACCACCCGCAACGAGCCTCCCAGGGCGCAGGGCCCGGCCCGCCCCTCGGGAGCCCAGTCACCTCTGGGCAATGCAGAGCAGCAGGCCCACTCCATGACAGCACCTGCAGGGTCTGCGAGCCCGTCTTTAGGACTCACCCAGCCCCACAAGAGCCCTGCGAGTGCTCTGAGCAGAGGCTCAAGGAGCAACACCCCCATGCGGCAAAACGACCCCCACCCTGCACATGGGCCTAAACACCAGCACCGAAAACACAGTCCCAGCCCCCCCCCCCCCGCCCCAGGAGGCAGTGCCCAATCCGGCAAGAGCAGCTCCCAAACCCTTCTGCGGGGAGGCCCCATCTTCCCTGAAGGCAGGGGGCCATGGACAGGAGGGGGCAGCATCCCCGGAGGGCGCTGAAAACCAAGACTGTGTCCAGGATCCTGAGGAAGACTCAGAAGGAGCAGGTGACCCAGGAAAGGCCGGCAGCCCGCCTCCGACACGGCTTCCAGATGCCAGCCAGGTCTCCTGGGGACCCACACCGGCTCGGAGGGGGCAGTAGGCCAGAAGGTGCTCTCAGACACCCCGGACAGTGTCGGCGGTCAAGATCCGCCCCTACATGGGCCCAGAGTCTACAAAGGACTGGCACTAGCCAAGGACAGCCCGGGGACAAGGGAAACGTGCGCCGGAGCTCTGGGGCGTGCACTCCCCCTGCTATCAGAGCTCGTTCTGCTGCCTGGACAAAAGTTCATTCAAAAGAAGACAGACAGGGAAGTGATACTTTAAAATGGCTTCCCTAGAAAATGAGCGTGAGCTTTGGCCACCTAGAAAATTCGGGAGGTGATGTGTCTTGCTGCAAAGCCCTTCCAACACAGATTTATGGAAGGAAATCGGACGTTACAGGAATCTTTCATCCTGCAAGCCAGACTATTCGGTCTAGAGATGCAGCCTTGGAAACCCCTCGGGCAGGGCACCCTGGGAGAAGAGTGGGTGAGTCCTCCTCCGTCTGGCAGAGGCCAGCAGGTGCAGATGCCCCCCAGCATCCTGAGGGCAGGAGGAGGAAACAGACTTTTGGGGCGTTCCAAAGCTGCCAGCCAAGGCACTCCTGGGGGCTGAGGAAGGGGGGGTCAGAGGGTGGGAAGAATCCTGCAAAGCTCCCCATGCTGAAGGCAACACTCCCAGTGACCTCCACTGGGATCCCTGACACCCAGCCATCCTGGGGGCCGACAGAGGATGGACATCTCCACACTGTGCAGGAGGAAACCCCTTCCCCAGGCTCAGAGCCAACAAGCCATACCTGTTGCCCTCTCTCGGTGCACAGGGGTCCCAGAGACCCAACCCTCACCTCCTCCACTAAGGACGGCCTCACCGGGCTGGACGCCTCCTCCCATGATGCTACACTCCCCCCTTACCCTCCCACTCTCTGTGTCCTCGATGGTGACCTTGGGGGTCCTCAACAAGTAACAGGGTAAATAACAGCCTCCTTGTTGGTGAGGAGGCAGCATGCCGCTCCAGATCCCAGCTCAGAACAGCCCAGCAGAGGCAGCTGACCCCAGATGCTGCCCATGGACCTGGAGGAAACGTCAGATGCCCAGTCACTCAGAGAGGTACAAGGACGGTTTCCTGCCAACGGGGGCTCCCAGTACCTCCTGTTCAAGAACGGCCACCAGACGGATGGCGAGCCTTCTCCAACCTTCCTACTACCACCCAGAGTCCAGGCATAAAAGACCCCTGGATGGCAGCCAGGCTCCAGGCCCGTGCTCTGCTCAGGCCGCCTCAGAAGCAGGGCCGCCTGCCTTGCCTTACAGGGTATGGGAACCAGAAACCCTTCCGAGGGTCACGTGCGCCTGCAATGCCTCGTCGCTGCTGAGGCCTACCTCAGATACCACTGCCGCTCCCCGGCTCCTGCCCACTGCCCTGCACCAGCAGGTGCCCACAGCACCACGCAGGGCGACGCAGGGCCACTTGGCGAGAGGGAGAAGGCGGGAAGGGAAGGCGCAGGGCCACGCTCTAAACCTGGGCTCCTCTGCTCCTCCCCGGTCCTCCCTGACCCACACAGCAGCGCCATCACTGGCCAGGGCCCCCAGACCACAAACCACCGAAGCCACCCCTCCACGGGGCCCAGAATCATCCACAGCCATGAGGAAGGAGCGCTCAGTCCCTCCTGAAGGCCTCCACAGGACGCCACCAGCCCTGCCAAGAAAACTCCACATTGCCCCTGCAAAACCGAGGGACTGCAGGAAGGGCTGGCATCTGGAGCTCTTTGCCTCTGGAGAAAGGCCAAGGACAGGTCGACACCCACCAGATCGGGGAGCTCGCACACACGCAAGCCACACTGCAGGGGCCCCAGAGCCAGAGCAACCAAATCCCGTTTCGGAGCCAAAGAGGCAGGCGGCCTGCAGTGTGGCGGGCTGCCCTGCTAACTTCGCAGGGTGCTGGCGTAGGTTTACAGCCGGGCAGCCAGCTCCCGTACAGGACGGCCCCGTGCCTGACAGCTGACCCCCCCCGAGGGAGGGCCCCGTGAACACCCGCTCTGACAGGCACGGTCCTGGCTTCCAAGGCTGGCCCAGGCAGCTCGGGTTACCGTTTACACAATCTTACAGGGCTGGGGCCTGACGCAGCCAACGTGAGGGCACATTATGAAAAACGCACGTCCGGGGCCTTCGCGTTACGAAAGAAAACCCTACCCGCATTTTGTTCGACTTGGTTTCAAGACCGCTCGCACACCCGTTTTGTGGAGCAGGGGGCCCTGCAGGAACCAAGAGGCCCCTGACGCACCCGGCCTGGCAGCCCCCTCGCACAGACCTCGGCTCAGAAGCAGCCCCTCAAGCATGCCCAGCTGGGGCACCTACGCCTTTAGACCCCGGAGCGCCTGGAACACGGGGCGCCCCACTGCGGCTTCCCGTACAGACCACCTGGGGGTACAGGCAGACGGACGCGCCCTCCAAGTGCCCGCTGCTCCGCGGGACCCGCAGCTGGGAGGCCGGCCCTCGACCGCACACGCGGCGCGCACGCACAGGATGACGCGCGCGGCTGCCCACCCCCGCCTGCGGCCAGCGCCCTCACCTGCAGCTCGCACCAGGCCACCTCCACCCAGGTCTCCGTGTCCAGCCCCTTGTAGACCGTCTTGAACGAGCCGCGGCCCAGTTCGATGTCGAACTTGAGGAAGCGGCCGTCCAGGGAGGTGGCCACGGCCTTGAGGTCGTCCTCGTCGTCGTCCTCCTCCTCGGGCTCGTCCCGGCGTGTGCGCCCAGGCTCCGGCCTCGCCTCGGCCGCCGCCGCCGCCGCCGCCTCGCGGGGGCCTCCGGCGGACGCGGGCGCGGGGGCCGGGCCGGGCTCCCGCGCGCCCGCGGGCTGGGGGCCGGGGTCGGCGGGGGCGCCGGGCGGCGCGGCGGCCGCGGCAGCTGCAGGGGCGGCGGGGCGGCCGCGGGCGCGCTCGGCGATGAGGCGGCGCGTCTTGCAGAGCAGCAGCGCCCGGCGCTGCAGCGGCTGCGGGGGCTGCGCGCTCGGCGCCTCGGCCGCCTCCGGGCCCGGCGGCTCCTCCTGGTCCGACTCCACCACGCTGCGCCGCAGGAAGCGCTGGGGCCCGGGCCGCGCCGCCCGCGCCCGCGGCGCCGCCGGGGGCTCCGCCATGCCCGCGGGCCCCGCGCCGCGCCCGGCCTCCGTCAGCGCGCGGGGCCCGTCCCGGCGGCCGCCACAGCCGTCCATCTCTGCGGGCAAGGACAGCGGCCCGCGTGAGCGCCGGCCCGCGCACCTGCCCCGCCGCGCAGGACACAGCCGCCCGGGCCCGCGCCCTGCCCGCCCCCGCCGCGGAGGGGCCTGCAAGCCGGCCCTGCAGGCCCGGGCCGGGAGGGGCGGGGGGGGGGGGAGACGTCTGTGGGGCTGCCCCTGCCCCCCCGGGGGGCGGGCTGCGGCGGGGGCGGGGAGGGGCCCTCGCGTCCGGCCTGGCGCCGGGAAGGGGTCCCCGGGGCGGGCTCGCAGGGGGGACCGGGAGGGCGGAGAGAGGGAGGTACCGGCCGGGCGGCGCTCCACAAAGGACGCGGCCCGGGGCGCAGCAGGGGCGCGCGGCGCGCACACAAAGGCGGCGGGCGGGGGCCCGGCACTCACAGGGCGAGCGGGCGCCGTCCATGCCCGCGGCCCGGCGGCCGGGGCGGCGGAGGCGGGCGAGGCCGCGCGCCGGGGGCCGGGGGCCGGGTCGCTCCCGGGGCCGGGTCGCCGCGCTGCTCCCTCGGCCGGCCCGCTGCGGGCCGCGCTCCCGCGTGCTGCTCCGGCTGCGTGCGGCTGCGCTCGGGCAGCGGCTCCGACCGGCGCGCGGGGAGGGCGGGGCCTCGGCTGCCCGCCCCCGGCTGGCGCGGCGGGGCGGGGCCTGGCACGCCCACCTGGCCGCGGGCGCGCGCGGCCACCTGCGGGCCTGCTCGCAGCTGCGGGTCCCCGCCTCGGCCACGCGCGCCCGCGGCCAGACGGCGCTCCCGGCCCCCAGGCTCGGGAAGGACCCGCGCGCTGCTGTCCGCGGAGGGGCCCGCGTGCCCCCCGGAGGAGGCACAGGCTCACCTCCTCACCTGTCCCAGCAGGCGCGCTAGACCTCGCAGCCTGTGCCGGGGCAGAATGGGCGGGCTAGGAAGCAAGGGCCCAGGGCCGGTGGTCCCCCCAACCCTCAGGAGGCCGCCGGAGACCCCAGCCCCAGGGCCAAACCTGGGGGGGGTGGAGTGTCCTTTCCCCTGTCATTTCAACAGGATCCGTCGGGACCTCACCGCCAGGAGGGGGAGTACTGTGATCCTCATGCCCACTCTGCCGTTGAGCAAACGGAGGCCCTGAGATAGAAGTTATCTGCCCTAAATCCCGGAGCCTCTCTGACAGAGGCTGCCCTGGGATGCCAGTGGGTAGGGGCCTGCAGAGGCTTCCAAGAGCCCCTGGGCCCACAGTGTTCTTCGTCCCCCGCCCCTGTTAGATGCCACCTCCCCCTGGGAGCCTTGACCTCATCCCCCTCTCCCTTTTTCTCCTCTAGACTCCCACAGACAAGACCCTCTCTTGGGCATCTTGAACCTTCTTGCTGGGAGGTGGCATATGGCAAAGACTTGAACTGCTAGTTTCTGAGCCCTGTGCCCTGGGAGGCCCTGAGCTCCTCCGTCCAGTCCCTGGCCACCCAGTGCTGCAGTGAGGTCAGGGAGCAAAGACACGGGGAGGCAGCTGTTTCAGGGGAGATGCCCAGCGGCTCCCACCTTGGCACTGCCGCTGGGTCCGGCATGCCACCCAGCATGCGGGGTGCCCGTGGGCTCCAAGCCCCTGGCACAAACGAACTCACGGGACGTCACACCATCAGAGCCCCAGGGGAGGTGTGCCTCACCTCGGTCACCCAGAGCAGCAGGACCTCCCTAGTGCTGGAGCCAGTCACGACCGATTCTCCAGCGCTGACAAGCCTTCCCAGCTCTGCTCAGTGACACCCTGTGGTGTTGGGAGCGTTTGCACCGTGGAAACGGGCAGACGCCACAGATCAGGACTTCTCCCGGCAGAGAGTGGTTCCACGGCGTGCTGGCGCTGGGCTGGGCAGCTGGAACCTGCCTTCTGAATATACCCCCGGTCGCCACACCTACCTTGTGTCCAGCCCAGAGCCCAGACAAAGAAGGGACAACATCCAACACCAGCTCCACTGGCCTGAGACCCAGTGAGGCAGGGATCTGAGCACGACCTCCCAGGGTGGGGGCCGGCCAGGCTGAGGTGGGGCTGCTGAGGATCTTTCTGTCTGGAGCCTAGAGACCCCTAACCTTGCTCTGCCATTTGCATGACCTTGGGTGAGTCCTGCTGTAGCAAGTCTCAGTATCCCCCGCAGAACTGGCCTGGCCACCCTAGTTTGTCTACCTCAAAAGACTGCCAGTTCCTCCAAGACTCCATCAGTCCTGGAGGGCACCCAGAGTCCCAAGCCTGTTCGTGCTGGGCACACCCAGGCCTGTCCAAGGGAAAACTGAGAAGAGGTAGAGCTAAGCCTGCTGTGGACAGACTCGAGGCCATCTGGCCTCCTCCCTGTTTCCTGGGCCACAGTGGCAGCGAGCGAACATCGTGCCCGTATGGCGATGGAGGAGATGGCTGGACATTCACAGCATCACCTGGAGGCTCTGTCCACCCCCAGCTGACAGATATGCACACCATGGCAGCAGTTCCCCCACATCGCCGTGGGGGAGTGGGGAGAACCTGTCCCTGACTGAGGACTACATGCTCTCTGAGCCCTTAGGGGTGGTTCCAGGCACCCGTGCTTACATGCCTCCAGTGACAGGGAGCTCACTCCCTCTGCTGACTCATGACCACTGGAGTCCATGGCTAAGAAGCTGGTAGACAGGTCACAGTCCTCTTTTGCAAGGACCCTCGGGCTGGGCTCAGGAGCAGGTCCTAGGATCCAGGAAGGACCAGACCTTGGGACCAGGGCTTTGCCAGGATCATGGTTCTTAGATTACTTGGCACCTCTGAGCCTCCATGCCCGGCTCTGATGGGGAAAACAAGCACCCCTGTCTGCTCTGCTAGGTGTCCTGAGGGTCCCACAAGCCAGGGCTGCAGGACACTGTGCAAACTGCCTGGCCCCGGCGGGTGCTGGCGGTATCTGTCCCCTGCCTGGACCCCCTGCCTCCACGGCTGTCGGGCCAAGGGGTGTGATTATCTCCGTGCCTCCGAGGACTAGGTTGAGGCCCAGTACAGAGACTTTTCGACTCCAGTAGTTTGCTCAAGACCACAGAGCTGCAGCCAGTGCCCCTCCCCTCCATAGCTGCCAACTTGGCTCCCCAAGACTCCAGTGCCAGGGAGCCCTAAGTACCCCCCAGGTGCAGGCTGTCCCGGTGCCACAGCCTGGCCAGGCCGGTGGAGACCTGAGGCTCACTTCCAGGGCCAGGACCAAGCAGGTCACATGGCTGCGGCATCACACTGCTCTTCGGGAGATGGACATAATGGCGGTGGCCAAGGACTTCTGCGAGGGAGGGCAGGGTCTAGCCTTGCCCCCAGAGAGCCCGTTGCCAGGTGCTTTTGGGGTGGGTCTGCCTCTGAGTGGACTCCAGCAGGATGGAACTGTAGCTGGTCTTGTGGTCAGACACCGTGCAGCCAGGCCACCTCCCACTGTCCCCCCACCCAGGCCACAGCACAGGGAGGTGGCCCCTCAGCACCAGGGGCTCCTCCAAACACCACAGACTCACTCAGCAACTATGTGGGGCCCGCCACAGGTGGAGGTGAGACCTCAGGGCCGGAGTGTGTCCTCTGGAGCTCAGGTCCTATGGGGGCAGGGCAGATCTCCCAGGACCTGAAGGTAGGGTGTTGGGGGCAGGCAGGTGGGGTGGGAGTCATGTGGACCTCTGAAGCTGGGGCTCCTGGTCCCTGTGAAGTGCGTGTGGGCTGGGAGGGCAGAGGGTGGGGCCCTGCTGCCCCAGCCCCTCAGGAAAGCCTCCCCACTCGATGGGGGATGTGAAGTTCTGTAACATAATTTTCATTTTTCTTCTTTTAATTAATACGATTCTATAACATTTCCTTTACTCCCTAATTTTAAAACGTGGTTTAAAAAAATAATAATAGTTTCGTTGGAGGACACCCGGGGACTCCGTCAGTTGAGCCTGCAGCTCTTGGTTTTGGCTCAGGTCATGATCTCAGGGTCCTGGGATTGAGCCTCGCGTCAGCCTCCGTGCTCAGCATGGAGTCTGCTCGAGATTCTCTCTCCCTCTCCCCTCCCCCTGCTTCATGTGTGCAATCAGTCAATCATAGTTGCATTGGGATAGAATTCACATTCCTGAAAACTCACTCATCTAAAGTACATAACTCCGTGGTCTTCAGTATATTCAGATGCTGCAACCACCACCACCATCTCATTCCAGAACATCTTCACCCCCCAGAACAAGATGTCACTCCCCACCCCTGTGTCTCAGCCCCGGGCAGCCAGGAATCTGCTGTCTGTGGATTTGCCTGTTCGGGACTTCTCACGTCCCCAGAGTCATGCAGCGCCAGGGCCTCTGTGACCAGCTGCTCTCCCTCAGCACGCCTCACTCCATGCAGGTCAAAGGTGCGTCGTGCTCCGCTCCAAATAATATTCTGTTGTACGGTGACAGACAATGATTTTCTTAAGAGCCCGTAGTCAGGGGCGCCTGGGTGGCTCAGTCGTTAAGCGTCTGCCTTCGGCTCAGGTCACGATCCCGGGGTCCTGGGATCGAGCCCCGCATCGGGCTCCCTGCTTGGCGGGAAGCCTGCTTCTCCCTCTCCCACTCCCCCTGCTTGTGTTCCCTCTCTCGCTGTGTCTGTCTCTGTCAAATAAAGAAATAAAATCTTTTATGGGGCACCTGGGTGGCTCAGTCGTTAAGCGTCTGCCTTCGGCTCAGGTCATGAGCCCAGGGTCCTGGGATCGAGCCCCGCATCGGGCTCCCTGCTCCGCGGGAAGCCTGCTTCTCCCTCTCCCGCTCCCCCTGCTTGTGTTCCCTCTCTCGCTGTGTCTCTCTCTGTCAAATAAATAAAATCTTTAAAAAAAAAAAGAGCTCGTAGTCATTATAGGAAATTCGTAAAACAGAAAAAGTGGAAGTAGAAAACTTTAAGCTGTCCCTATCTGCTACCAAGTAAGCGTGCCCCTGGCGCCCGTGGCTGTCCACGTGGGAGACGGTCAGCAGGTGCCCATCACAGGAGCCCATCACCGTTTGACCCTTTTTCTCCTACGCAGAGTTGCTATTATTTGGTTTTCCTCAGGAAGGTTCCCACCAAACGCTAGGTCGTGTGGCCTGTTGAGTTCAGTCCAGAGAACAAGGCTTCAGACGTGCTGGGTCGCACAGGCCTTGGAAACCCTCCCACCTGTGACCCCTCTGTCAGCACCTCCGTCTGCCAGGCCCTGGAGCTCAGGCCCTGCTCTTGCAGCCTGTGTCCCCCGCCCCCTTCTGCCCAGCCCCAGGGGGACCCGCAGCCCCCCTCGGGTGGGCGCTGTGGGTGTACGTGCAGGGGGAAGGTTGGAAGGGTTCTATCCGCATTCACTGGATGTGCAGAATGGTGCACAAAGATGTTCATTGACGGATGGTTTGTAAAAGGCGTTGTGAATGCTGTGAATGTCCAGCAGCTGCAAACGGGCAGGTAGACTACATTCGACACGATCAAATAG